ATATATATATATATATATATATATATATATATATACGCGAAGCTGTGAGTTTTTTTAGAATTACGCCTATTTGAAACGCCCCAACTAAATATAGAAAAGAGCTCTTTGTGTGGCACTATAAATAGTACTTATTGTCGTAGCACATCCCAACGTCACTTTTTGACCCATGAAGCTTGTCATTTGCACCACGTCGGGGCGGATTTGCTCTCTGCCAAATCGGCTCTAGCCGCCATTTTTTAATTGAACAATCAAACAACTCCTGCAATGCTGAATTGGCAAAGCTATGGTAGGGAAATGTTGATGAGTAAGGATGGTGTGGTTTTAGGCTGCCAAGGCTGCATACAATTTGTGGGAACAATCGTGGTGACAGGAGAATTCTGGAGGAAACACACCGTAGAAAGTCATCGTCTGTCGTTGTTGCCATGCTTTCTTCCAGCCTCTGACAGTTGGCATAGTACCCCCCAAGACGTTTCGTCGGCATAATCACTCAGCTCTGCCATGCTAATCACAGAGCTACAACTCATCGAAGAGACGTCACATTTTCCAACCGTCGCCTGAAGACAAGTGACATTTCCACTCTTCTCCTGACGCCTTCACCCGTTTGCATAATCGCAGTTCACTCCAACTGCAGAGACAGGTCGTGTTGAGCGTGTTTTTTGCGCCTAAGGAGACCAGCGTAAGAGCGCGTCTCTGTGTAATAGGCCATAATAGACAAGGGGAGACACGAGAATGTGGGACTTGTGAATATGAGATGGCACGAACTGTTAGCAAAAGAGTCGCAAGGAAAAGTTGGGTTACGAGAACTCTCTTACTTTCCACTTCGAGTGAAAGTATTTGGTGATGAGAATTGAAGGAGAATCCCACCAAGAGACGACGGCACATTCATTTTGGCCAGCTGTTGATTTGCTTTGCTGCAGCAATCTTGTTGACGCTTCAATTGACGGACGAAAGCTTAGCATGTTTTCACCAGAATCGAAGAGTCTCCTGAGCTAAGATTGCTGTAAAGACTTTCACTTCGTATGGAAATACATGATGAGGAGATAGTTAATCGAAGGGGATTGCCTCGGAAACGGCATCAACAAGAATGTTTCAGTAAGGCCGGTCCATCTTGGTGAGTTCGAGCTTGTAATCCCTTCACTAAACACTTTCACTCGAAATGGAAGTAAGCCCAACAGCAGAAGAGTTGTCAACGGACTTGGGTTCCTGGTCTCAGTGACCGCGTGTACCGCGGAGCCAAGGGTGACAGCACCGAGTGGGGATACCAGCAGAGTGATTGTGAGTGTGCCGATTCAAGCGTCAGACGCCGGCTGGAGACGAGGCAACAAGGGGGCCGCGAAAAGGTGCCAGAAACCTCAAAAGTTGCCAGTCGACCAGAGCCCATAATCGTCTGGCACACAAGCAAGCGGACAAGCGGACACGCGGACACGCAGACACACGCGGACACGTCGACTGGGCTTTAAACGGACAGCGAAGCAGTAAACTCAAAAGCAACTGAGGCGGTTGGGGAGGTGACAACAGGACACGCGGAAACACAACTTTCCGGAGAGTGGACGAGGCCGAGCCGCGGGCATCCCGTCGATCGTCGTTGAGCTGATCCGTTGGGCGCCAAAGCCTCGGTCCGCTGGCTTGCCGCGTCGGGACGCGCTTCGAAGGGGAGGCGGCCGGTTGTCATCGCAGGGTGGGGCGAAAACTAACCGCCGACTGAGCCAGGAGGATTAGGAGCGCGGCCTTCGGCACCGGCCTGGCCGACTGGCAAGCATGCAGATGAGGCAGTGCAACACAGACGGGCCTGTACGTCTGTGCGCCTGTACGATTGTAAGCATGTAGGCAGGGCGAGGTGAGGGGACACGCTGAAAAGAGGTGCAGCCGTGGTGTGAGTACCAAGGGCGACGGCGACGGCGACGGCGAGGCGGCACTTGAGACCGGGAGAGACAGGACTAGCTGGAAAAGGGGAGGAGGGCGGGGAGACTCATGGGCCAAGAGAATGGGAACGGCCTTGGAGAAATCGATCCGCAACAGACAGACGAAGTGACGAGCCGACGCCTCAGCTGAAACCCAACCTAGACTGGTGGCGTGGACGCTTTTGCAGGCAGACAGAGCGAAATGCGCCCATACAAACAGACACAGGCAGGCAGACACAGAAAACACGGGCGTGCATGGGCGGATCACATGTGAACATGCAAGAGAGTGAGCAACAGAAACAGACACTTCGAGACGAGGACAGAGACAGACAAGAGGGCAGAAGCACAGATTCACCGGCACAACGAATGTCATGGCGCAGCGGCTGGCCACGAATAAGTAGGATCAGGCGGAGACAGCAAGAGAGCGTGTCTGCATTGGCAGGAGAGAACGAGAGAACGAGAGATCGAGAGAGCGAGAGACTGAGAAAGCAGTAACCAAGTTGGCCGAGTACTGACTAGGCCTTGGCGTGATGGCAGGCCGGTTAGGCAAGCTAGATCGCTGGACCGGTTCGACGTCACCCCCGCATACCAGCTCGTCCCTCAACACCCACCAACAGCCACCCTCCCGCCCTGCCGCCCATTCAGCCGGGCAGTCAATCAATTAGCCAGCAAACGCCGCAAGTGAATCGATGGAGAAATGAGGCAAGCGCGCCTCGAGCCGACCGACCGGCTGCATTCGATTGGCGTCAGTGCGCGCCTGTCCATCCGCTTGGGCCTGGGACTTCGGAACCCGAACCTCGAGACGAAGAGGACTCGTCTTGACCGGATCACGAGTGCAACCAATGAGAGGCCGATTGGGAGATGAGCCTTGGAGACCGCGGCGTATGGGGCGAGCCTCGAGACGGCGAAGGGCAGATGAACCTTGTCAGGCGATCGGAACAGCAAGCGATGAGCTGCCCGCAGGACCGAGGCAAGAGCAAATCGGAACCGACCGACCGACCGACCGACCGACCGACGCAAGAGGCCGCACCTGTCGAGGTCGGTTGAGGCGCGAGCAAGACTGTCTGAAATAAGTGCCTTGCGTCGACAGACCGGCCAACTGAATCAGGCCGAGCCGAGCCGAGTTGAGCTGAGCTGAGCTGAGCCGAGCCGGGCCGGCCATTGATCGATCAGGCCGCCGGTGCCTCCGCTCTTCGAGCAGACAAGAGTTTCGACCCGAGGGAGGCCGGTAAAATGGCCGCCGCCTTGGCGGGGCCGCAAAAGTGAACAGACGACGAGACGAGGCGAATGTACGTGCGCGAAAGTACGCATGCGAACGCGAGCACACAAGCATGAAATAGACCATGCATAAATGCACAAACGCAAGTGAATGCGCACAGGCGCGCTTAGGCCTATGTCTAGGCTGGTGGATCGATAAGGCTCGTGCAGATAAAGCGTACTAGGCAGTGCCTCAAATGCCTGAACCGGGCTGGCTTAGTCGTGCATGGACGTGGTGACACGCGTATGTGTGCGCACTGTGTGTACTCGCGTGTCACTGCGCCTACTGGCGTTTCTGCCAGGCCGAGCCGAGCCGGGCCGGACCAGGCCGGCCTGTCCACGGCCTGCAGGCCACCTGCTTAGTTAGGCGTGTTTCTTCATCAATGGCTATGCGCCAGAGCCGACGCCGATCAATAGCACGTCTAGCTCAAGCCAAAAGGTTGACTAGACCAGACACAGCAGACTGTTTCTCCACTTTTGCTCGTCTCTCGCTCTATTCTCTGCCCTGGCTCGACTGGGTCGTGTGAGCCCATGATCTGCCCGACCGACAGCTGCTGCCTCCACCGTCGCCGCTGTTGCGCAAGCCGGCAACATTCGGCCACAAGGTCTCTTCGCTCCTCAGTGGCCGTTTGCTCCACCGGCTGGCGAGATGGGCTGTTCTACTTCACCCTGGAATGCGTCAAAAGTCGAGACAGAAGAGCGGTCGTCAGGCCTTAGCCTGGCGGGAGCTGAAAGTTACAAGGGCAGAGCTAACTTCAGCACATAAATCTGCCAGATAAATGTGATCGGTAATTGGAAGGTGCTCTACGAGTGCAAAAAGGCGTCTATGAATTATATTCATTGTATTTCCCCACAATGCTATGAGTAGACCTTACGCTTTTATTACATTTCACATAACCTTGCTCCTCGAAAGGTATTCTCGTCCAGGCTGGAGTGGATTGAAGCTTCGACTTCGCCTACGCCTACTCATCACCCCCAGCGGGACTCAAACCTCAACAGTGCAGCATATGATCCCGACAAGTTAACCACTGCGCCATATTGCCAAGAGTGCCGTTGGGTCACAGGGCAGATGTGCATTTTAATGAGGCAAGGCTTCATCGACGA